TATTTCCAAGTGGTTAAAAACTCTACAAGGACTAATTGTAGAATATCTCAACTATAATAAAGACTAAATCTCTACTTCATAGATGAGTTGTGTTCTAGAAGTTCAGGTATGAGTCCCTGGTTGGACATTGTTTCTATGACAACATAGATTTAATTTTAAAAAATATACAGACATTCCTGCTTAATCTTCAGTTCTGTGGCCCCCTGAGCTCTACACTGGAGGCAGTGAGTGGGAGCAGAGGCTCTGGGTGTGCCTGGAGAGGGACAGAACGAGAGGGTAGGATGGGCTGTACCATGGGCCAGATGCTAGCTGTGCAAGGTTCTCTTGAGAGGAAGTAGAAACCATTATATGTGTGAGTCATTCCAAATTAGATATTTCCAATTTCCAATCCTATATCTACCTTTTCCCCCCCTGTCTGGGGACAGATTCTTGCACTGTTGCTCAGGCTAGAGTGCAGTGGGGTGATTACAGCTCACTGTAACTTCAAACTCCTGGGCTTAAGCAATCCTCCTGCCTTAGTCTCTCAAAGTGTTAGGATTATACGTGTGTGCCACTGCACCTGGCCTACTTCTTCATTTTAACTATGCTTAGGTACATGTTCCATGCAGGTCAGAGATGGATTTACCATGAAGCTAATGAAAGTCAAGCTTTAGGGTCCTCATTCCCACTGAAGACCTTTCCAAGATCCTCGCAATGTGTTCATGAGATCATTTGTTTTGTAAAATTTGAAAAAGTACGATACTGTTTATTTCCACTTTGTATTTATTTGTTTTTTTAAAATGTTGGCCAATTAATTTCTTTCTATTTTTTTTGGTAGAGACGGGGTCTCGCTCTTATTCAGGCTGGTTTCAAACTCCTGACCTTGAGCCATCCACCCGCCTCAGCCTCTCAGAGCTAGGATTATAGGTGTGAGCCACCGCGCCCGGCCTTATTTGTTTTTTTGAGACAGAGTCTTGCTCTGTCACCCAGGATGGAGTGCAGTGACATCATCACAACTCACTGCAATCTCAAACTCCTGGGCTCAGGTGATCCTCCTGCCTCAGCCTCTCAAGTAGCTGGGACAACAGGTGTGCACCTTGAAGTCCAGCTAATTTTTCTGTTTTTAGGCCAGGTGTGATGGCTCATGCCTGTAATCCAAGCACTCTGGGGGGCCAAGGCGGGTGGATCATTTGAGCTCAGGAGTTCAAGACCAACCTGAGCAAGAGCAAGAGCAAGACCCCGTCTCTACTAAAAAAAAAAAAAAAAAAAAAAGAAAGAAAGAAAGAAAGAAATTAGCTGGACAGCTAAAAATATATATATAAAAGCTGGGCATGGTGGCACATGCCTGTAGTTCCAGCTACTAGGGAGGCTGAGGCAGAAGGATCACTTGAGCCCAGGAGTTGGAGGTTGCTGTGAGCTAGGGTGACGCCATGGTACTCTAGCCTGGGCAACAGAGTGAGACTATCTCAAAACAAAACAAAAACAAATTTCTGTTTTTAGTAGAGATGGGGTCTCACTCTTGCTCAGGCCGGTCTCAAAGTCTTTTATTTTCACATTGACTTCCCTTCCTTCACATCTCTCCTTGTGTTAGATGGCACTAGAGGGGCCACAGGCATTTGGGGGATTCAGCTGAGGAGAAGTTTAGTTGGGAATCCACTCCATTTCAGATCTATTCACATGGCTTACAGTCACATCCATGCATAGTTATCACCTGCCTTCTAGAAATACTTTTATCCACCTACCACGCTGACTCACTTGGTGTTGTGACCAGTAAGTACAGAGCCAGAGATCAAATCAAGATATAAATGTGTCCTACAGCACCTAGCAAGGAAATATGTGGGAATGGAGGAGAATCAAGGTTTGAAAACAAATGAGGCCACAAGCTAGTCTGAAGACAATTATTCCCATCATCAGCCATGTAAAAATATAAGAAGATTCTGTATCTTACTGACACCAGTGAAAATGAGTTTTGTCCTGTCAGCAATATATTCAATAATACAGCATATATAATTATAAATGCATCATGCATTCTTTTATCAGAATTCCTATGTTTAAATTTTTTGATGACTTGACACAAATTACTGATATCAATGCAGATAATAAAAAACTTACAATGTACCATTCATAATGAGGTTTTCTAAGACAAATGGGCTAAGAAACAGTCAATTTGGAGAGTATATCTAACATTATCTTTTGCACAAGAAAATCTAAAATGCTCTGAAATCTTGCAGCTCATGGATGAAAGAAATTTGATCAAGATTTTCCCCCAATTTGATAACACAGCTAAAAATTTACATGACATTGGCAATAACAACTTGCATCTAAAATAAATTTTTTTAACTATCAAATAATGAAAGACAAATTTGATCTACTGTGCTAAGATTGAATTATCTTTCTTGTCTCTCTCTCTCTCTAAAATGGTATTATCAAATTATTGCCATGTGAAGAACCAATCAAAGAGCATGCAGCCAAAAATGTAAGAAAAAAGTAATATTTAAGTGTGACTGGTGTTTAATTAATCAAATTATTATGGGAATTTTTGTGATATTTGTGGTAGTCAGTTTTTCAAATTTTGTAATTTATTGTGATTTCTCATTATAAATAAATATTCTCTTTCATACGTATATTTATATTTGTAATATGGTGGGGTTTTTTTCTTAAAAAGGTACTTCTGCCCCTATCTCTCTGCCCCCAGAATTATGTAAACAATCAGGCTCCACAAAATCTGGTTGACCAGAGCACAGCACAAGCTCTTAGGAGCTGCTACAGTTATTTGAGGGGTTGGGGCTGGCTATTCAGGCCACAGGCCCAGGAGCTGAGCACTGCCAAAGTCACCTAGGCTAATAAGGCTCTGAAAAATGGACAGGTTAGAAAAGTCACCAAAGTGAGTAAAATTAAACTGCCTCTTTATGGGGTTACCTCTGAGGCACTTTAGGTCACCAGTAATGTTACCAGGCCCACACCTATCTTTGCTTCTGCAGAAACCCTAGCATCAGGAGAAACCTGCCATTCATTCTGCCATTCACCCTCTGGGGCTGTTGCCTATTTTTCTTCTAGTTAACAGTGTTTCAAGAACTCAAAAGGTGCCATGTCCCCAATAAAATTAAACCCTTTTACTGACAAAAATGTATACACTGGTTTAAACAAACAAAAAAGTCTTTACAAAAGCAAGGCGATTCTGGGTCCTTGAAAATTAAGGATTGTCAATTGTGTTAGCATCACCTAGTGACAAAAAATGGGTAAGTTCGGCTCACCAAAATCATTTAAAAACTGGGAAGAGAAATGGAGATGCTTCCCCCTCCCTCCCTTTTCTGGAAGCTGTGCTGAGTACTGTGGTTTATTCAATTCCATTGAGACTTTCAGTTATTAACTTATGTCCCCAAATCTTATAAGAAAATAGTGATAGCGCAAGTCAGACAGAGATGAAAGAATGAATAATTCTGCTGACCCTTGCTGACTCTGTTGAATATTCTGGGCCATCCTGGCTTCTGGTTTGAACCTGCTACCTAGGCTGACGCCTCAATTTCTCTTATCACCAGCTCTTTCTTTCTTCTTTTTTTTGAGACAGAGTCTCGCTTTGTTGCCCAGGTTAGAGTGAGTGCCGTGGCATCAGCCTAACTCACAGCAACCTCAAACTCCTGGGCTCAAGCGATCCTTCTGCCTCAGCCTCCCGAGTAGCTGGGACTACAGGCATGTGCCACCATGCCTGGCTAATTTTTTGTATATATATTAGTTGGCCAATTTTCTTTCTATTTATAGTAGAGACAGGGTCTCACTCTTGCTCAGGCTGGTTTCGAACTCCTGAGCTACAGCAATCCGCCCGCCTCGACCTCCCAGAGTGCTAGGATTACAGGCCTGAGCCACCGCGACCAGCTCCAGCTCTTTCTTTTTTTCTTTCTTTCAAGAGACAGGGTCTTGCTTTGTTGCCCAGGCTGAAATCAGTGGCTATTCATAGGAGCCATCACAGCACACTGCAGCCCCCAACTGGTGACCTCAAGCGATTCTCTCTCCCCAGCATCCTGAGTAGCTGGGACTACAGACTTGCACCACTGTCCCTGGCTCAACTCTTCTTTTTTCCCAGTCTCTGGCTCAGCTCGCACTTCGCCTAGCTCCATTCCACCACGTCTGTTTCATTTCAGCTCCCTTCCATCTTAATTTCCCCCAAACAGACCTAGCTTTAGTTGCCTACTTGCATCCTCTATTGAATTTTCATTCAACAAATATTTGTTGAGCATCTTTGTGGAAGGCATCATGGTAAGCACAGGGGACTCAAAGTTGAGAATAATAACAGTGTTTCAAGCACACCCTCTGGAGCCAAACTGCCTGGGTTTGAAGCTTAGTACGATCATTTATCACTGCCAGACCTTGGTCAAATTACTAACTTCGTTGTGCACCAGTGTCCTTGCTAATACATATAAAAGGCTTAGAAGGGTGCCTGGTGCCTGGTAAGCATTCTTTAAGTGCAGACTCTTAAGGCATAGTCCTTGCCTTTCAAGGAGCTCACGGTCTACCGTTACCCTGTCTGCCTGTCGCTCCCGGCAGGGAGGGCTGTCTGAGTCTTCCGGCATCTCAAGTGACCAGGAGCTCCTCACCGGGTGCAAGTTTTTGCGCCACAGTTTCACTGTGTGATCCCCGACAAGTAATTTCTCCTCTCTGGGTCTCATTTTCTGCATTTGTAAAGAAAGAAAGTTAGACCAAAATTGATTTCCGAGATCCCGACAAACTACTTGTTCCGTGTCAAGTGGCCCAAGTTTCAAACTATGTCAGCTTGGGCAAGACGCTTAACCTCTCAGTGCTTGCTTCCTCCCTGTAAAAAAAAGTCGATGATATTACTAATCCCTCCCCCCCCCAGGATTGTGAGGAGAGTTTCAATAAAATAACGCAAGCCCCGGCTGCCTGGCACACCTGGAACGCTCAGAGCAAGCCAGCCCTCCCGCTCCACCGCACATTCCGACCCGCCCGCCTACGCCATTCGGAGGGCTGGCACCGCCCCCGCCCTCGCCCTCGCCAGCCGCAGGTTTCCGGCTTCCGGTTCCGCCGGGGCTCAGAGGTGGGGCTGAGGCTAATGGCGGCGTCCGTGAAACTGGCTGAGGGGGTAGTTAAGGAGGCCGCTGCGGAAGAGAACCCGCGAGTTCTGGAACCTGGGGCTGCCCCCTTCGGAAATTTCCCTCATTATTCCCGCTTCCACCCTCCGGAGCAACGGCTCCGCCTTCTGCCCCCGGAGCTGCTTCGACGGCTCTTCCCTCCTCAGAGTCCCGAGACGAGGCCGATCCTGGGGCTCGACGTGGGGTGTAACTCCGGGGTGAGTGAGGGGGGAGGGATCGGAGCACTGGGAGCCAAGCGGTTGGCTGCCTCCACGTTCGCTGTGGTTCTGGCCGGGGCGCAGCATCGCACCCACCAAAACTTTCCCAAAATGAGTATAAATCGTAGCGTGGACCAATCCAGGGCTGCTGCTACCTGTCCGCCAGGGCCCCACTACCGTCTCTCTTAGGAATCTTGGGGAGGAATCTTTCTCAGCTACGTTCCGAATTCTTGCGTCCCCATCTCAGCCTTCGCTGCCGTCAGGGCCAGACCCCAGGTGGGGAGGATCACTGTATCAGGAGTAGCCCCTGTGCGGCGGACCTGGCGACCTTGCTGGGGAGAGGGGACTTTCAGAGACCCACGTTTGGGAGCTTGGGATTGGAATTGGTTTACTGAGAGAGGAGCCAGGGTTGACAGAATCGTGTGGTGAGTCAAACCTCACCACAGGTCTGACAAGCAGGTTTCGATAAGATGGGGCTTGCTCTGTTCCTCGCCTTCCTGGTAAATGACACCTGTTATCGCCCTGGACTCCTTTCTTCTTCCTCTAAGGTCTGAGATATCCAGAAAAAGATAGTGAGTTTACCAGCATATTACTTACTGGAAAATACTGCGCTAGGCTACTTTGCTATACCTTTTTGGCTGTAACTTTCAACTATACATCTACTGTCAGTGTCAGTATTAAGACTCATAAGTGTCAGAATTAAGACTCGTGTGTGCTGTACAGTGCTGGATGGACCTGGAGCCAGATGCATATTTTTTTAAAAAGCAGTGAGTTGATGCAGTATAATGGAGAGGACAGCATTCTGCCACAGGAGTGGAGGAGGGAGGCACTACCACTCTTCTTACCACAAAGTATTATTATACATATTATAGTCAAACCACATAGAAAATAACGAAATGTCTCCCTCACACCTATTTGTTGCCACTGGGATAGGCTAGCGGAGCAGGCAGTCTGACCCTAGGTTACAAATGCTTCCAAAGTTAGTACCCTCAGTCCACTCCCTTCATCACCCCAGCCCTTCTAGAAGCTGGAGGAGGTGTGGTGAATTTTACTTTGGTAGAAGAGTCTCTAGTGGACAACTGAAGACCTTGAAGGACACAGCTGACAGTGGGAGGGGGACATTTGGATACTGTCTTAAACACTAGAATGAGCAGATGGGTGGGTGTCTGGGTGTCCTCTGCAAACATTCTCCACTGTAATGATATAGAAAATCAGAGGGTAAAAGCATTGAAAAAAGAGAGACTGGGCTTAAGGCTTGGGATTTCATGAAAGGCATTAGGAAACTAGAGATTTTAAAGATGAGAGTAGCATGTATATACATTAGAGGCAAAGACATAGTTGGCAGTAGTTCCCAAACCTGGCTGTATGTTGAGGGAGCTTTCTATTTTGTACTTTGTAAAAAATGCTTGTAGTTGATAAAACAAAAAAATTCAAAATACAAAAGGGTATATAGTAAAAAGTAACTCTACTCCCAACCCTAAATCCTCCTTTTCCCCCACACAGTGGCATTACTGTTTGTATAATAATTTCTTGTATATTTGTCCTGTGTGTTTACCAGTAATTATGTATATATAAATATCATCCTTCTTTTAGTTTTACAGTAGTAGTACACTGTTTTGCAACTGCTTTTCATTTAATAACTCAGATTATTCATGTCAGTGCATTGTTTTTTTAACAGCTTCATATTTCACTGTATAGATGTGCCATAATTTATGTGTGCTTTTTTCCAACTTTAAAAACTTTCAGGGCCCACTTTAGACCTACTGAATCAGTTTCTCAGAGAATTGGGCCCTCAAGTTGTATTTTCTCCTTTAAGCTTCTGTAGACTATAGGATTGGGGAATTGAGGGTGGAGGGGAATGAAGAGATGTGGCGGAGAAGGCACTGATGTGCGGAAGTGATCAAACATGGGGCCACACCCATGATCAAATAGGAGGAACAAGATAGAGAAGAAGTAAATAGGCAGGCGGAGAGATAATTAAGCAGCATGGTCAAGGGCCTTGCTACTCAAAAGTGTGACCCTTCAACTACAGCACTGGCATGATTTGGCAGCTTATTAGAAATATTGAATTTCAGCCATCACCCCAGATCGACTAAATCAGCATCTTTATTTTAACAAGATCCCTAAGTGATTGGTATGACCATTAAAGTTTGAGAAGCCTGAGTAGAGGAAAGAACCTAATATAGCCTAAGACCTTGCCATGTACTATGTGACATTAGACAAGTAAGTCATTGTGAACTATGCCACACATACAGAAAAATACATAAAACACAAACCTATAATTTATGAATTATAATAAAGCAAAAACCTTTATGACCACTGTTCAGGTCAAGACTAAAACATCAGCACCCCAGCAGTCCTCCATATGCCTTTTCCTGTTCATAAATATATCCTATATCCACCCAGAGGTAACAACAGGCCTGACTATTATTATCATTTCCTTGCTTTTCTTTAAAGTATACTGTTTATCTTCCCTAAACAATGCAGTTTAATTTTACCCATTTTTGAACTTCTTATAGGTGGAAGCTCATCATATATTTCCTTTTGTGGCTTGCCTTTTTTTTTTTTTGAGACAGAGTCTTGCTCTATTGCCTCGGATAGAGTGCTGAGGCGTCATCCTAGCTCATGCAACCTCAAACTTGTGGGCTCAAGTGATCTTCCTGCCTCAGCTTCCCCAGTAGCTGGGACTATAGGTGTGCACCACCACACCCAGCTAGTTTTTTCTATTTTTGTAGAGACAGGGTCTTGCTTTTTGCTCAGGCTGGACTTGAACTCCTGAGCTCAAATAATCCTCCTGCCTTGGCCTCCCAGAGTGCTAGGATTATAGTCATGAGCCACTGCGCCCAACCTTGTGGCTTGCTTTTTAACTCAGCATTATATATTTGTGAGAATCACACATGTTGTTGCACTGAGCTGAGTTCTTTTGTCTTTAACTGCTATTTAGTATTCTATCTTAAGCTATTTAGTATTCTGTCTTAATGATTATACCATATTGATTTGTCCATGCTATTATTTTTGGACATCTGAGTGCTTTCCATTGTGTGTTTTCTTCTCCTGTACAAATGGCATAAATATTTTCCTCACACAATTGTTAAGCAAATCAGATACTAAATAGGAAAATGCCTTGAAAAATACTATATATAACAACACAAATTTGAGTTAGTTATAGTGGTTATAGAAGTCAAAGTTAGAGAAAGGAGACTGACTTGTTTAAAAGTCAAAAAGGTGCTAAGTGGTAAAAATCACAAATCAATGGATTTGGCTGGAAGGAGGTCAACACTGACTTTTAGGAGTGATGGCTACAGATACAGAATAAGTCTCAGAAGAAGGTGGCAAAGCATAAGACAAGTAGTTAAAATTGAAGCTGGAGAGTGAGAGCCAAATGAGGACTTTTTGGAATCCAGACTTTCCAACCACAGGTCTGACAAGCAGGTCTCAATAAGATGGGGCTTGCTCTGTTCCTCGCCTTCCTGGTAAATGACGCCTGTTATCACTCTGGACTCCTTTCTTCTTCCCCTAAGGTCTGAGATACCCAGAAAAAGATAGTTTACCAGCATATTACTTACTGGAAAATACTGCTCTAGGCTACTTTGCTATACCCATTTGGCTGTAACTTTCAACTATACATCTACTGTCAGTGTCAGGGAAGATACAGAGATGATGCATTACAGCCTGTAACCCCTGGAGGGCACTGAGAGCCTGCTCTGTGGAAAACTTTTTATACAACCTCCTTAGATTATGGTTTAAGGGCCCCACATCCTATAAAGCCAGAGGTAACTGGCATTCTGAGTGGGAGGATGAGAGATATAGTTTTCTCTTCCATTCACTGGTTGAGAGTTGCAATGACAAAGCTCTTTTGGATTCCTCTAGGATCTGAGTGTGGCTCTATACAAACACTTCCTTTCCCTACATGATGGGGAGACCTGCTCAGATGCCTCAAGAGAACTCCGTCTCCTCTGCTGCGACATAGATCCAGTCTTGGTGGAACGAGCTGAAAAAGAATGTCCTTTTCCAGATGCCTTGACCTTTATCACCCTGGACTTCATGAATCAAAGGACCCGGAAGGTTCTCTTGAACTCTTTCTTAAGCCAGTTTGGACGTTCAGTTTTTGACATTGGTTTCTGCATGTCAATAACCATGTGGATTCATCTAAACCATGGGGACCATGGCCTATGGGAGTTCCTGGCCCATCTTTCCTCCCTCTGCCGCTATCTCCTTGTGGAGCCGCAGCCCTGGAAGTGTTATAGGGCAGCTGCAAGGCGTCTCCGAAAGCTGGGACTCCATGATTTTGACCACTTCCACTCTCTTGCCATCCGAGGTGATATGGCCAGTCAGATTGTGCAGATCTTAACCCAGGACCATGGCATGGAATTAGTATGTTGCTTTGGCAACACCAGTTGGGACCGAAGCCTTCTGCTCTTTAGGGCAAAACAAACCACAGAGACTCATCCAATCCCTGAATCACTGATGGAAGAGGGGAAAGAAAAGAACAGATTAAGATTCTGGAGGCAGTGAGATGGGAGGGCAGGAAGACCAGGAAAGAATTATCAAAAGGGTCTTACATTGAGAATGATGTTTACTCTCCTTAACTCTTTAACAATCAAGCATCCTCAAAACCTGGCAGAAGCTCTTGACAAAATGTCCAAGGCCTGTAATTGAAATAATCAGTATCCGTTCCCCATTGTTTAGAACAATTCCTGAGGAAAGTGAATCTGTGGAGTACTAAGCTAGGCAGTAAGCTGTCTGGATTGAGATGGCCTAGAAAAGTAAGTGATCCTGGTTGTTGGACATGGGAGGAGCTGCTTTGGGGGTTTATTTATAAAGATTAGACCAGGCTAGCCTTAGTATGTATCAGTTCCCATGGCTCCTTAAATCTGATCTAGTTTCTTCAGGCTTCTGTACTTACTAGGCCTATGTTTGGGCAAACTCACGGTACAGTCTGGAATGTGAAGAGTCACTGGCCTGGCTAAAGGAAGGGGTTAATAGGAAAAGCATGTTATCTCTCTAAAGCAGGTCAAGTCTCCAACATGCCCAGGCTTGGCACAGCAGTTACAGATACTAGGCAAGATGCATTAACTACCATTTAAAAGATGTTTAAAAGATTTAAATTATGAACCCAGAGATAGTGATTCAGCTCTGGAATGGGGCTTAGGAATCTGTTTTCTTTTGTGGTATTGCATTCTTTTATTTACCATTTTATGGTAAATTTTAACCATTTTTAAGTGTATAATTCTGTGACATTAAGTACATTCACAGTGAGGAATCTGTTTTTAACAGGCACCCCAGATGATTCTGATGCAAGCAGGGGTAGACCACACTTTGAGTACTTAGGATTCCCTCCAGCCCACCTCTGTATAATTTTCCTGGGGTGAGTTCTTCCCCATGATTTTTTAAAATTAATTATTTTTAAGAAAGACTTCTAGATGCCCCCATGGTTTTAACAGCTACCTACAACCTAAATGAGCCCCAAATACCAAATATATTGGTAGCCTCACATCCATGGTTCCAGACTAATATTTTTCCTGTTTTGTAATTATATCCCCTAGATATTAATAGTTCTTTGGCACCTCAAAGTCAACATATCCTAAAAGCAAACTCATTCCCTCATGCCAAACCTAATCATATCTCATTGATAGCATTCACTTATTGCTCAAGCTAGAAACTTGAGCTGCTGCTTTCCTCACTTATACTCCCCACATTGAAATAGTCAAAAAGTCCAGGCCAGGCGTGGTGGCTCTCGCCTGTAATCCTAGCACTCTGGGAAGGTGAGATGGGAGGATTGTTCAAGGTCAGGAGTTCAAAACCAGCCTGAGCAAGAGTGAGACCCCGTCTCTACCAAAAATAGAAAGAAATTAATTGGCCAACTAACATATATAGAAAAAATTGGCTGGGCATGGTGGCGCATGCCTGTAGTCCCAGCCACTCGGGAGGCTGAGGCAGTAGGATTGCTTGAGCCCAGGAGTTTGAGGTTGCTGTGAGCTAGCTGAGGCCACGGCACTCACTCTAGCCTGGGCAACAGAGCAAGACTCTGTCTCAAAAAAAAAAAAAGTCCAGCAAATTCTATCAATTACATAAATCCCATTTATTCCATCCATGTGGCTAGTGCCTATCAGGGAATTCTATGTTAAGTCATCTGCCCTCCAGTCCATTCTCTGCCTTGCAGCCACAGTTTACTCATCTGTACAACTGAAATAACACCACCTTCCTTTTCCTGTGCCCAAATGAGCTAAAGGATGTGAATGTATTAGAGTGTTAGACAAAAATAAGGTGTTATTATATACTCTGTAAGCATACCATAGACCACAACTGTGCTTGTTAGACGAAAGGCTTATGAGAAAAATATTTCATCTTGTAGAAGAAAACATACATCTTACTATCTCTAATAATTTTTAGGATGAGTTAGTAAAAAGGAGTTTAGCTTCAGTGCTACAAATCATTTTAAAGGAAACAATTTTGAGAGGGAGGGATACAGAGCCAACAGAAATGAGGCCAGTTTATGATGGTCTCAGAGTGATCACAGTGGTTACAGAGCTGAATTTACCCACATTTCTCTAGATCTTAATTTAGGAACACTTTGAAACCTTGTGACCTTGCTGGGTTCTGTCTCCTACCACCTTTCACCAATGCAGTGCAAAGAAATGTATATGGAGCTGTGGTAGGCTGAATAATAGTCCCCAAGATGTCCACATTGTAATCCCTGAAACCTGTGAATGTTACCATAGATAGCAAAAGGGACTTTGCAGATATGATTAAGGATCTTGAGATGGTGAAATTAACTTAGGTGATCAGAATGGACCCTAAATATAATCATAAGTATCCTTATAAGAAACAGGCAGAGGGAGATTTGACCCACAGTAGAGATGTAATAATAGAAGCAAGAAGTTAGAGTGATCTGAGGAAGGGCTGCAAGCCAAGGAATGCAGGTAGCTTCGGGAAGTCAAAAAAAGGCAAGGAAATATGTTCTCCTTGGGAGCCTCCAGAAGGAACACAGCCCTACCAGCACCTTGATTTTAGATTTCTGACTTTCAGAACTATAAGGAAATAAATTTGTGTTGTTTTAAACCACTAAGTTTGTGATGATTTGTTTCAGCAGTAACAGGAAGCTAACATAGGGACTCTGACTACAGTGAGACTGGCTTACGTGTCAAGTGGCACCTGTCCCAAACAACTTAGTGGCAGAAAATGGCCCCAGCAACCAAAAGGATACCCAGAGGCTTCATTTACATGGTTAACTTAAAAATCTTCAACAACTAAAAGCTTTGGGAGATGCTTTAGCATCTGAACTTGATCTCTTCTCTAGTAACATTCTATTGGCTGAGCAGTTACCTGACCTGTTGGGAGGAACCGTTTTATTTCAAGTCTGTGCAGTCAGTTTCAAAGAAGATATGTCATTAGTGCTCATAAAGATGAGGCCCTGGTACCAAGTAGGTAATAGCTACATAATAGTCTGTGAGAGCCCTTGGAGACAGTGAGAATCTTTGGCTCCAAGAAAAGAATATCTTATTTATCTTCACACCAGCCTAATTTAGGAACCAACACCAAGTGTGATGAAACTTCTTGAGGGACAATCAATAGAGACTGGTCCTGGATATACTTGAACATTTAAAAATATATATTTTATGTAATCTATTATCTCCAAAATACTACATTTCAACATGTAGTCTATAAAAATAAAATACATCATTTTTATACTAAATATTCAAAATCTGTTGTGCATATTATACTTAAAATTCATCTCAATTTGGACCAGCCATACTTCAGATGCTCATTAACCAGCCACATGTGGCTAATGCATGCACTTTCATGGAAAATCAGGAAATATTTTATCAAATTCCTTCCACATATCTAGTATGGTCTTAGCTGCTATGGGGAGTAGGGGAAAAGTAGATTAAACCACCCCAGACTTCCAAAAGTAAGATTTGATTCATTCAGTAAATATGTTAAAGTTGAGAAAAGGAGAGGCTCATATAAGGTAATAAGCAATCTTGTGAGCTTTAGAAAAGGAAAATCTTTGTGGGCAGCAATGGGCATGGAAGCCTTTTCTGTGGGACTTGAGCTATCCCTGAAAGGAATACAGCTTTTGGAACAGTAGACAAGTGGAAAAGACCATTCCCTGTGAACCTGGAGAAAGGAACCTCTTGGCAAGGGTGTTTTGTACATGTAGAACAGACAAGACTGGTCTAGAAATGGATATGTTATTCTGGGCAGTGGTGGGAAATAACAGTGATCTTTGCCATTAACTAGATTTTAGATGGAATATCTGTAAGTAAAAAGAAAACTATAAACATACTAGAGAATACAGCTCATTTTAAAAATTGGCATACTCGGGGGGGAGGGGAAAAAAATTGGCATACTCTCCAAATAACAAAAAAACCCCTCAAAAGCCATAAAGGAAAAGATTGATAAATTTGACCACATAAGGCAAAAAAGAAAAAAACCAAAATCCAATAAAGTTGCATGACAAACTACCAACTAGGAAAGCTACGCAACGCTTGTGAAATACAAAGGGCTAATTTCATTATAATATAAATAACTCATAAATCTATTTTAAAAGGCTTTCACAGAAAATAATGGCAGATAAACACCCCAAAACTTATTTAATCTTGTTAATTACATGCAAGTAAAACTGAAAAGAACATTTCATCACTTAGATTAGTATAATATTCACAAAGTTTTAAAACAGAGATGGTGAGAATGTAGGAAAATAGATATTCTTATGCCCTGTTAGTGGGAATAAAAATTAGCATGACTATTTTGGAAGGCAATTTGTCAATATTTATCAAAATATATACTGCACATACCTAGGAATTCCATTGCTAGGAATTTATGCTGTGGATATACTAAAATATGCAAGGAGGCCGAGCTCAGTGGCTCATGCCTATAATCCTAGCACTCTGGGAGGCTGAGGCAAGAGGATCCCTTGAGGTCAGGAGTTTAAGACCAGCCTGAGGAAGAGCAAGACCTCGTCTCTACTAAAAAAAAAAAAAAAAAAAAAAAAAAAATTAGTCAACTAAAAATAGAAACAAAAAATTAGCCAGGCATGGTGGCTCAAGACTGTAGTCCCAGCTACTCAGGAGGCTGAGGCAGGAGGATCACTTGAGCCAAGGAGTTTGAGGTTGCTATGAGCTAGGCTGACGCCATGGCACTCATTCTAGCCGGGCAACAAAGCAAGACTCTGTCTCAAAAAAAAAAAAAAAAAAAAAATGCAAGGATATTGAGGGATAAGAAATAGAGAATGTTCCTGGATATACTGGAACATTTAAAAAAATATATTTTATATAATCTAGTATCTCCAAATGCAGTGTTATCCATTAGAATTAGTTGACAAAAGTGAAAAGATGGAAATAACCTAACTGCTTGTCAGTAGGAAATAAATAATGTGGTACAACCATAAATAGATTACTATGCAATTGTTAAAAAGAACAAGGTAAGGTGGGGGCAGTGGTGCGCACCTGTCATCTCAGCTACTTGGGAGGCTGAAGCAGGAGGATCACTTGAGCATTTGAGTCTGCCTGGGCAATGCAGCAAGGCAGCTTCTTCAAGGAAAAAAATTTTTTTTAATTAAAAAAAATTAATCTCAGCAACATTAGGAACTATACTCATCCCTTGGTATTCATGGGGAATTGGTTCCAGGACCCCTAAGGATACCAAAATCCTTGGATGCTGAAGTCCCTGGTGTAAAATGGTGTAGTACTCACATATAATCTATGCACTTTCTCCTGTATACTTAAAATCATCTCTAGATTACTTATGATACCCAATACAATGTAAATGCTATGTAAATAGTTGTTATACTGTACTTTAAAAAATTTGTATTTTTATTATTGTAGTGACTTTTTATTTATTTTTCTCTGATCTGCAGTTGGTTGAATCCAAGGATGTGGAACTCACCAATACCCAGGGCCAACTGTTGGTCTTTTTTGGAAGTTTCTTTCTCGGGCTCTGGTGTTAGCATTCATCCAGTTTTTTTTCTCCTTCTCTGGAGACCCCTCTCTAATGTTGGTGTTCCTTGGGGTTCTGTTCCAGCCCTTCTCCTCTCCTTGCGTGATCGCCTGTACTCCATGGCTTCACTTACCACCAGTGTTCTGATGACTTACAAATCTCTTATCCATAGTCCAAGATTCCTCTCTTGAATTTCAGAATTATTTATCCAACAGCCTATATTAATGCTTCCCAACCTTTGCCATGTCATAGCACACATAGAAAGTGATGGTGATTTCTATGCAGGATGATGCAATCCAGCATAACCAAGACTGCCCTCTGTCTCAGAGCTTGTGCTGCCCTGAGAATTGAGAAGACCAATATGCAGCACAGCTGTTGGGAAGCTCTGACCTCTTGGAGAGACATTTCTACATGATGCCTCCCACCCCTGGGGCATTTCAATGTCCTCTCTATCACCACAATCACTTTGGTAGTCCAAACCACATCATTTCTCATTTTTCTCCTCTGTTACTGGAAAAATCAGTTACTGGTGACTGCTAACATCAGTACTTTGTATGGTGTTTCCTGCTTCAACTATGTGGTCATTGATTCAGTGTTGGGCATCTTCATTCCTCAGAGGTTGACATTGTAGCCATTTAGCCACTGGACTACATTGATTGATAAACTGACCCCAGTTTAGAACTCCTGATATCAGAAGATGGTCAGGTTGGTAGCTAGCCTCTCAAAACATTTAATAATCTAGCTATTCTCCAGATTGGACTGACTCTGAGTGCAAACTTGTTTTTTTCTTTCTAAGAGACAGAGTCTTGCTCTGTTGCCAGCTAGCACACAGTAGCACAATCCTAGCTCACCTTAACCTCAAACTCCTGAGCTCAAGCAAGCTTCCCATCTCAGCTATGCATATGGATCAGCACTATGCATAGTTAGACCATACCACCAAACTGCTTTGTTACCAACAGCTTGCAGCTACCAAAGACCTAAGAGGCTTAGCTTGTTCTATAACACAGACGACTCAAGTAAGGAATAATATCTGATTAAATAGCACTGAGGAGCGAAAATGTCTTGAGCCTCATCAAAAGACAAAGGGATCGTGGAGCAATCGTAGTTACACTTCTTTCACCTCCTATCAGTGGGGATGAAAGTTTGTGAAGCATAGAGAATTTGCCAAAATCTAAACGCCTAACCTATAAAGTATGTAAGAACCTTTAAGGGGACAGGGTAAAAAAAATAAAAATAAAAAAACCTTTAAGTAAGGAGGGCAGGTACTTGCTCTACCCTTGTTCTGGCTGTGTTTATTAAACAAGGGTAAACATCTGAATGAAAAGTAAATCATCTAGATCTTCTGCTTACATCTAAAATTCAGTTATTTGGAAATATCCAAAAGTAGTTAGAAATGCCTGACAGACTTTTAAGGTTTTCCACCCTAAGGCTTAGGAATGCAAGAGATACATGAAGTTCTATTGGACTTTTAAGCCCCTCAAGGAAAGGCCCATGTCTAATTTTTGTCGTAATCTCAGGACTAGGCCACTGATCCCTATTCAATGAATGTTAGATGATTGAATGAGTAAGAGTAAATGCTGTAGGCTTCCAAAGATCCCCCTATCATTAAGAAAAAAGGTAAAAAAGAGAAATGTAAACATGTTCATAAAAAGATTTGCAGAAGAACGTTAATAGCAGCGTTATTCATAATTGCCCCAAACTGGAAACACTCAAATATCCATCAGTTGAAGAATGGATAAATTGGGATATATTCATACAATGGAATATTAGCAATAAAAACAGACTACTGATAACACATAGATGGATCTCACTAAAGAATACAAATACAAAAGAGTACATACTGTAAGATTTCACTTATGTGAAATACAAGAGCAGACAAAACTATATGGTGACAATTCAGGAAGTTGCAGGGGAGAGTGGTGGTAGGTGCAGTGTAGTCAACTATAAAGGGGCACGAGGAAATGTACTGGGGTGATGGTTCAGTATCTTGTTTTGAGCATTGGTTACACAGGTGTATATTTTTGTTGAAATTCACCAGACAGATCTGTGCATTTTGTTGTATGTTAAGGATAAATCAATTTAAAAAACTTATAAGGAAAAAGATGAGGAAGCTAGTGGAAGTAACCATCTTGACATCTTTTAGGTTCCAATAATAACTGTCCTCAGGCACTCTTTTCATCAAGCAACCCCTATGCTCAAGAACCCAAAATGACTTCTCTATCATGTCTTGTCAAATCCATATCCTCATTCTGATCTCCTCCATACAAAACCTCCTCCGTTAACTTCTCCCACTTCCCAACCTAACAAGGTGAACTGCTCACTGTCCCATGCAGATTAATTTGCTCTCTCCTACCTGAGTCTCCTGGTCCTTACCCTACCTGGATCCTATTCAAGTTCTCTATGCCCTTCAAATCCGATTTTAAATAAGCCTTTTTCAGAGAATTCTTAATTAATCGTAGCCAATCTGAGCACCCTAAGTTACCTCACTTTTTATGTTCCTTTATTGGACTAATATGATGCTTTAAGTTACATCCTGTGTATACCCACAACAAAAGCAATTTTAATAAAATGGGCAGAGACTGTGCCTAGGGATTTCTTTGTTTTTCCCTGCAGAACCCAGTTTAGAACTTGCATTTCGGAGCCAGTCAGTACAAATCAGGCTGTGAGGATTATACGGTCGGTATCCAAGCAAAGACAAATAGATGTTTAATTAAGGGCCAATGGTAATGGTATTGAAGACTCTGAGGCTCTGCGGGTGCCTGGGTGGGCTGTTTGCTTTTCTTTACGCAGGTGGTTCAAACTCTCCCTACTGAGATAGCTAGTGGCAGAGAACAAGGCTGTATCCTTTTTCTGCCCACCATTCCCTTCTCTAAAACTCGTGAGGAAGCTACCAGCCCTGCTCTCTGACGAGCGGAGCCTGTTCCTACCGTCGTTTTCCAGATTGTTGGGAGGACCCGATCCTGGAGGAGGAAGAGGGAGGCGGGAGCATTTAAGGCCAAGCAGACACTCAAGGCTTTCCCATGTATTTACACCCAACACGCATGCAGGAAGGTAAATTACAAACACCGACGCTCACAGCCACATATACACGTGCACGCCCAGCTTCACAGAAGCAAATGCGCATGTCCGTGGGCCCGCGCGCACCTACTTAGTTTTCTCTGCCCTAGACGCCCCCATTCCACCCCCCGCTCGGCCCAGCCCAGCGTCCCTACCCGGGCTCTGGGGAGGTTTACCAGGCCCAGCCCCACTGGAGGAAAGTGTTTCTCTGTAAGGGGGAGGGGAGGTCCTTCCCACCCGGGCGGAAGCGCCGCGCGCCGACCAGGCAGACTTAGCTCTCGTCCTGGGAACATCTGGAGCGGGCTGGGCGGGGCGCCCACCCAGGGTGGACGTGGATTGGCTGCGCGGGAGGAGGCAGGCGGGGTCTAGCTGAGGGGCGGGGCTCACTGGCCCTTTTAAAGCCTTGACATCAAGAGGCGGCTCCGGCACCCCCCTTTCTCTGCCCCCCGCCCCCGAGTCGCGGCCATGGACCCGGCGGATTCGGCCTGCCCTGGCCCAGCTCAACACCTGATTTCGGTGAGTTCTGGGCCTACTTGGGATTTAAAGGGCGGCGTGGGGGGGTGGGGAGGAATCCGTAAGCTCCAGGCCAGGGGGTGCGAGGTGTGGAGGGCAAGGCTCTCGTGGCAGCTTTGGGTCGGAGGGGGCGTCACAGCTTCCAGCCCAGACCTCGCTGCCTGCCCCTCCCTCCCTCCCCAGTCTCCCCCGGGGGTCCGGCTGCGACTCTGTCCACCCCTACCCCACCCCCTCCCGCACCCCGCGCCATCCTCGCGCACACTCCATGGCCCCGGAAGGGAAACTTTCGGGAGTGGGGGATGTTCCGGGGGCCGTTCACCCTCCCTTTTTGAAAGCACTGACCTTGCCCCACCTGCGCACCCCACCCCGCCCGCATCCCACCGTCCGGGTGCCGCTTAGCGGTGCCAGGTTGTTGAGCGGGGCGGAGTGGGGGGAGCTCTCCCCAAAGCGCAGGCGCGGAGACGAGCCTGGGTCTCCTCTTTGCACTCCGTCCAGTCCCCGTGGCCTGGGGCGATAGGGCGTGGGGGAGGCGGGGAGAGGCGGAAAGACCGGGTCTCCGAGAACAACCCTTTGAGGCTTTGAGGGGCTGCGGGAAAGGAGGAGGGCGCCTGGCGGGCTGCACGCTAAAGAGAAGCTGATGGTGGGAGAAGGGTTGGGCAGGGAGTAGGGACTGGGCAGCGCCTGCAGAAAAGGCTCTTTGGGTCCTGGCTGCGGTGCCAAAAGAATGCAGAGAATTTATCTGTGCCTGACTAAGAAAGCGGCTGTCCGGACCCCAGCTCCCCTCTCCTTTATCCTTGGCCCAAGGCCCCGCGGTGTCTCCAGACCTGGCACTGCCCCAAGGGCACAGAGGGCCCTCACCTCCTGCAGGCCTGGTTTTCCAGGCATCCCAGGGCTGGATCAGCCGAGCCCACCCAGCCTGTCCAGCTGCTGCTTCTTAAAGGCCTGCTGGGGTCTTAGGCTGAGGGGCTCCCTGGCTGTAGAGGCAATCCCTCCCTACCACTTCTCCCCCTCCTGCGTAAGTACATTTGTCAGCCAGAGGAAGTGGTTGGAGGCAGAGGCCTGGGACAGGAGTGGTTGGTCCTGGGTGGCAGCAGAGAGGAGGTCAGTGTCTACCCATTTTGTGGTCAGTACTTTTGGGGAAAATGAATCTAGCCCATTGCCTTGTTGTAGACCCTCTCTTGCAGACATTATGTCAGCTGGCTTTCTGAAACCCCTTGTCTGGCAGGAAGGGAGCCGTACAAAATGCACTTTGCAAATTGGTCCTCCACCTTCTTAGAATAACCTGGGCTTAGTGGGTTTCCCACCCCAGGGAAACCATGCGTATTCTTGTCTGTGGAGATATTCCCACATAGTTCAAGTTTGTTTTCAAAATCTGTGGTCTTTGCACGCGGTGGCTTCAGCTCACCAGCATATTACTCCAGCTCTGGCCTTCAGAGAGAGTGAGAACCTGGAGAGGCAGGCATCCTGGGCTGCAGGGAAGAAAGCTCTTCATGATAGGCAGGCAAAACCCTATGTGTATGGGGACCAAGCTGCTATGGACCCCGCTATTCCTATCTTGCTGTGAGACCTTGGCCAAGTTTGCCTCTCTGGGTTCAGTTTCCCCCATCATGAAAACTCAGCAGTTGGACTAAAAAGCTCTAACATTCTCTCCTACTTTTTGACATTGAATGGTTCCACTGATGTGTGAATCTAGAGGGAAGAAAGGTCTTCTGGCAGGATAGCTCAATTTAGAGAGCTAGAGTGTTGGGTGATGTGGTTCTACATCACGGTTACTTGGGATTAGAGCTTTGGGTGCAGAAAGCAGATTCCCTTATTCTGCCTGAGTAGTCACTGTCCTTCACACCCCTGGGGCCTTGGGATATGAACTCCTGCTGGCTTGGGTTTGGCCCACCCATCAAGGCCTCTGATGAGACATCCCAGCCCCACTAGTCTTTGAGTAGGTCCTTTGGGGAGGGGCTGAGAGAGGAGGAGGCAGCCAAGGGCCAACGGGTTAAGCAGATTCCCAGGAGACAGTTTACGTCTCAGCTGTTAGGACTTGTTTTAGGATCTGGGCCAGGGAACACAGCAAGCACACTCAGCCGCCCTCTTATGGGAAGAAGGCAAGGAAGGCCCCAGTGCTGTTGCCCATCCCACCCCTTGGCCCTACCTACCTCACCTCTGCTGTCACACCCCTAGCTCCCAAGCAAGGGGCTGAGGAATCTTCCCTGCTGCCCTCACCCAGCCCAGCCAGGTTCCTAGGCTCGGAGACAGCAGCAGCAGCAGCAGCAAAGAAAAACTGCCCACACCCCACCTTTCCCAGCCCCCTTTCCTCCTGAGGGTAGAGCTTTCTCAGGAGTCTGGCTCTCCAGGTTGGGACTTGCTCTCTAGCCCAAGAGCCAAAGGCCTTCACGTTTTTGTTTGTTTTCATCCTTGGTCTCCCAGGTGAAGGGGAATGTGGAAGGAGAGGTGGTAGTTAAAGAGGCCTTGGGTTTGGTTGGATATGGGGCACATTCTCCAGCATTGCTTTTTTTCCCTTCTGCTGGCTCTCCTGGGCCTGGAAGCCCTCTGCCCTGGACCCTGCTGCCTATGAGAGTGAAGCTGCAGCAGGAAGTATATAGGTTAGACCCAAGGAAATCTTTCTCACTGCTGTGAGCCCTTGGAATGGATAATGGAAGCTCCTGGGGAGGTCAGTTTTCCAGAAAGTGGTTAATGGTGGAGTCCCTGTAAGAGTGAAGGATGCAGCTGTTACTAGGCAGAGGCTGCTGCTCCCTCTTGGGGTGTGGCTCTGAGGCTGGCCAGCCAGAGGCCCTGATAGAAGCAGGAAGAGAAAGGACCCTTGCCTGACAGCTGAAGTGGGGTCCCTGGCCCCCTCAGTACTGGGTCACCAGAGCTGCATCTCAGAACAAATGCCCTTTCTTGCTCCCACTTCCCTCAGCCCCTCCACCAGTTCCCCACCACTTCTACCTTCTCCTCTGACAACCCTCACCCGGACCTGGCAGGCTCCTCCAGCCCCAGTCTGACTGCATTAATGGACTGATTGGATTTTCTATACTTGGAGTTTGGGGTTTCTGATTGAACATGCAAATTTATGTAAATCAATCTGGGATCTGCCACCACATCAAAACAACACAGTGCCATAGGCTGGAAGGGAATCCTGGAGACAGTCTAGTCTAACGCCCTTGTGTTAAAAATGGGGAAACTAAAGTCCAGAGGGGGAAGTGATTCATACAGTGGTGAGTGTCAGAGGCAGGACTCCTGACTCGGGTCTGGAGTTTTACATGGTACCATTCTGCTTTAGTTTTTTATGCATGAGGGAGCCTGGCTGAATTTAAAAGCAGAGAGGGCTAGTTCTTAAATTTGAGATTGCAGAGAGCTGGGCCCTGGAGGGTTAAAGTGTTATCCCAGGGCCCTCCAGGGGCTCTGGTCAGCTTTCTAACATGCTGAAGAAAAACAACTTCAAATCCTTTAGAACAAGACCCTTAATATTTTCCCCCAGACACTATGTGGAGCCTTGGAGGACAGGTCATTGGTTGCTGCCTGGTTTGGCCCTAATGGTTTCCCTGGAGCTAAGATTTTGTCTGTTTCCAGCATCTGTTACAGTAGCAGGCATGTGGTAGGCTGTGCATGGATGTGGTGTATGCAGTGGGTTCATCTTTACCCTTCCCTCCATGGCCACAGTGGAGCTGCGGTTGGTCTCCTGTGACACTTTGCCCACCCTCCCTTACCCTCTTGGAGGGTATAGGCCAGTTTGGCCTCCTCTGAAGGTTTCTATAGCACTGACCAGACAGGCCTTGCTCTCATTATTTTAGGATCAGTGCCAAGGATGGAAGGGGGCTACAGAGATGGGCTTGAGTCCCCAAGGAGCAGTCTAGTCTCCTTACTACTTTGACCTGTTCTTGATCTGATCCACCCACCTGGCTGCAAGGTGCCCCCCATTCCCACTTTGTGGACTGCTCCAGTGGCATGTGACTGTCCAGAGGGCCAAGCCCTCGCTTACCCTGTGGTAGTGATGGCAGAGATGCTTAAGGCAGCTGTCAGCCTGCCCTGCGATACTCTGGGAGGGTGGTGCGTGGGCTTAGGAACAGAGGCCCTGACTCCCAGCCAGGGCTATTCACTAGACTCTGCTGCAGCCTGGGAGGGGGCTGGGGACACATATATGGAGGCTTTCTTCATCTTCTCCCCAAACCCAGGTCTGGATGACTCTGGAATGAGTGCCCCTCTCTTCAGCATCTTCCCAAAACACAGCAGGTGTGGAGAGGCTCCTCTAGTCCCCCACTGCCTAGTGGCCCTCAGCACCTATATCCTGAGCTCTGTGTGAGGGGAAGTTCTTCTCCCTGGGCCTCAGTTTCCCAGCCAGTGTTCGTGGATTAGTAATACATCATCGTTGGGGTGTGGCACCTGCTCGATAATTACCGTTTTCCCAGCTCTGGGACTTACGCACATGAAAGAGGCCTGAGGAAGCCAGGCTGTTATTAAGGTGAATTATCATTGCTGTTATTACTGATTTCTAAAAAACCCAGCAGCTGCTGAAAAGAACTCAGTCAGGCACAGCACCCTGAAATTTATGCTGGTCCTTTAGCTCTGGTAGTTCTCCAATACTCACTAAGCTTTTTAAAAAAATGTATAAATATTTTAAAAGAAGAAAAGACCCCATTCTGCTGCTCCTGCTGTCGCCTGCAGGGCTTGAGTGGTAGGTGCTGCTGGAAGTACCTGCTTGCAGTTAACACTAATGTAGTTCAGCTCCTGCCCCTAGACACTTTGGGTAGGGGAATGATAAAGGTTTTCCTAGGCAGGGCTGTGAGGGGCCATGGAACTCCTGGGGTGCGGCCTTGGGGCTCTTAGCAGTTGCGGTTCCCAGGGCCTGATTCACCTCACCCCCAGCTGGCTTGATGTGGGGCCTATAATTGGCCCTCTGTGCAAGGATCTGTTGAGACACCCCCAGAACCTGCCTGCAGCAGCCCCAGGCATCTTATGAGTCCTTTACCCCACCTTATTCCCACCTCCTCCAAACTCTCCCCTTGCCC